GAGGGGGGTGGATCTGCTCAGGGAGGGAACGCATCGTCCCCCAACAGCTGCCCATCTACTGCCTACATGGGGCCCGATAGCCCGCCCCTCCCAGGAGCGTCCGGATTTGTGCTATCGGGGGCCTGTCGCCTGTCTATCGGCGATCTGTCGCCGATTCCAGGCAGATGCTCCGCCCCCTTGGCGAGTCCCCCCCCTATTGTTGTTCCCCTATTGTTGCCCCTCTCCGCTTTTCGGGATTTTCAAGGTGATGCCCAGCAGGATGGGGCCCCAAAGGATAGGAGAGAGCTCCCAAGCTGAACAATCATGGTTTGAGGCCCTTTGGCCCTCGTACGGCCCCATGTTTGACCCAGCGAGTTTTCCTTCGCTCCCCCCTCCAGTCTCGGAGGACGCCTCATAGGGGGAGATAATTGGGGGAGGTAGCGAGGGCTGCCGAAAAGAGGCCCATCAAGGGCCCAGATGGGGCCCTCGAGGGCCCCCACAGTGCACCCCTTCCCCTGAGTTGTCGGACCCCTCCCATGCCGTTGCCCAACCAGTCTCGGAGGTGTTGAGAATGAGGAGAAGGAGGAGGAGAAGGAAGAGGAGGAGGAGAAAGAGGAGGAGGAGGAAGAGGAGGAGGAATGAGGAGCAGGAGGAGGAGAAGGAGGAGGAGTCGGAGGAGGAGGAGGTAGGAGGAGGAGGAGGAGGGAGGACGAGGAGGAGGAGGCAGAGGAGAAGAGGAGGAGGAGGAGGAGGGGAGGAGGAGGGAGGAGGAGGGAGGAGGAGGAGGAGGAGGAGGAGGAGGAGAGAGGATGATGAGATGATGATGATGATGAATGATGATGATGATGATGATGATGATGATGATGATGATGATGATGATGATGATGATGATGAGGATACTGATGAGGAGGAGGAGGAGGAGGAGGAGGAGGAGGCTCCGAGACAACCCGTTCCTGCCAGGTCGATCAGTCAATTGGCACGTGGCTGGGCGCGCGCGCGTCTTTCCTGTGTTTTTGTTTCTCTTGCCTTGGCAGGATTCACCGCGTGCACCGAATTATACAGCATGCCCTGCCCCCCCTTCCCACCTCATGATTACCCCCAGCTAAGACAGTGTTGGTCAGCGGTTGGGAGCGGCGGGCCGAATTTCATTATGACCAGGGAAAGTATGCATCGTGAGTCGAATCGTCTTACAATGGGTATCATCATCATCACCAACATCCTCACCACCATCATCATCACTATCATCAGCAGCAGCATCATCAGCATCATCATAATAAGCACATCCATCATCACCATATTCACCATCATCAACATCATCTGCATCACCAGAATCGTCACCATCACCACCATCATCCTCATCATCGTCATCATCATTGCCATCATCATCATCATCATTACCACCATCATCATCAGCATCATCAGCATCATCATCATCATCATCATCATAATCCTCCTCATCATCATCACCATCATCAGTATCATCATCATCATCGTCATTCGCCGAGTGCGCGAGGTGAGGATGTCTCATGTAAAACGCACATGTGTCATTTTCTCGAGGATGTCTCAAGCGATAACATCGCTGTGCCATCGTGTGTCTTAGGATTTCTGCTCCTCCCACCTTTCCAGGGAGGCCCCGCCTGAGCGAGCACGTTATCTCTACACCATTGTATTTGATGAGGATTCATACTCCTCCCACCCCTCCAGGGAGGCCCCGCACGAGCGAGCACTGTATCGTTATAACATGAGACACTCCGTGCATCCGTACACTCCGAAGGATTCCGTTCGCTCCTCCTCCTCCTGCTCCTCCTCATGTGTGTTGCGACCTGCCGGGAAATGTTGATCATCAGGCCGGAACCCCGAACCTTGGTATCCCCACCTTGTGAGCATCGGAGGCGTAGGGTTATGGGAAAAGGCGGTGGCCCGAGATCCTGAGTGGCAACGCTGTGGAGGGATAGGCTCAGGCGGGGTACGCATCGACCCCGAATGGCCCATTGCTCACCGAGAAGGGGCCCGATAGCTTCACCGCTCCCAGGAGCAAGCGGATTCGCCCTCGGGGCCTTTCGCCGACACATCGGCGATGTGTCGCCGATTCTTGCTCGATGTCTCCCCTCTCGTGCGAGTCCCCTCCCTCACGTTCCCCCTCCTAAGAGGGCACGGTCGGGAGTTTGTCACTCAGCGCCTCGCTCCGCTGGTCTGGCCCGCCGCACTGGGGCGCGACGCTCTGCGTAGCCCTCCCAGATGGGGTCGGAGGATCGCGCCGCATCGCCGATGCATCGGCGATGCGGCTCGATGTGAAGCCCATTTTTCTCCCACGCCGACGTCGCCGATGCATCGCCGACGTCGCGGATGCATCGCCGATGCATCACCAATGTATCGCCGATGCATCGCCGATTCGGTGCAATCCTCCGACCCCACCCACTCGGACCCCATCTGGGAGGCGTCTAGACACGCCGTCCACGTCCCAGTCCACGACCGTCAACGTCCTGAGCCTTTCCCAGCCTCCCGCCCCGCGGAGTGGTGCGACGCGCTCTCCGCTTGCAGGGCATAGCGTGTCACCCCGGCCGCCGCAGCGACACAGCCGTTCTCGGCCCCGCCGCTTGGCAGCTTCTTCGGTGCATGGCCGACTCTTGGGCCT